CTACTCCTGCTGCAGTGAACCAGAGGAAGTATTTGTGGCATTTTACCCAGAGAAAGATGAGACTGGAAACCATGATAGTGGCAGATAACACAGAACTGGCTCAGAGAGAGAACGAACAGACTCTGCAGGCCATTGAGGACAGGTACCAATACTTAACACAGGGTAAGGGGGGGCTACAGTGGATAGAGCGAAGATTGGGAGGAGGCTGGTCTGGATTGTTTTGTACCCCACACCAACGGTAGTTGCCACTCAGACATCTGGATCCAGGAGCTGATGGCAAGACTCTCTTTCGCAACAGATGGTCTGTCCTTCGCAAGAGATGCTTAATTCTGCCACTGAGTTAGAAGCACCAGCTTGAAAAAATCTGGTTGGTCTCCACTAAGGACACATATTGTCATTGATTTAATTTGAGTACTGACCAGTACTATGGTTACATGATTTGCAGTGCCATCAAAACTGGGGTCATGCCTGATAGACTTGGTTACCTGCAGATAGGGTCCAGTCTCACATTCTAGGTGTGCCTCACAACGGCTCTTGTGTTTCTGCAGAATTTGGGCCGCCTATCATAAACTGAAAGGGGAACCAGCTTCACAACCTGAGACTTATTGTCCAATCTATCTTGAGTGTCTACTTGCCAAAATTGGTCTCAACACCAAGGCGTCAAGCCAAGCCTCCTAAGGTCCGAGGCATGTTCTTTCCAGCTTGAGCTCCTGGAGGAGAGTCAGCCATGAAGGTTGTTCAGATTGTGGGAGGAACAGAGGAGATCTTTCCTGGTATGCTCTATCCCGAGGCAAGTTCTGCAGACAATGCCTGCAGAAGGATGAGGAGGAGAAGAGTGGCAGTCAAAAAGATCTTGGATAAGGAGACTTACAGAGAGATCTTGGGCATGATTTAATCAGTTATGACGACCCTTCAGGGTCAGAAGACTCCCAGTCAATCTATAGGTGCCAAGACCCTCACTGATCTCATAGATCTGGAATATCCAGGCTAGTGAGCTCCTCTCACTCCGTAAAGTTCAAAGCTCAATGTTCAAGTCAGAGCTTCCTGACAACCCCTATGCATGTCCCCGCCTGGCCCTCAGACACCCAGAGTATAGGAGCGCTAGGCATGCAAGGAGGCCAGCCAAAGCAGTCTTGTGTACAGCCAGGAGAGAGGAAGCATCCGAGCTCAAGGACAAAGCAGGGAGTGATGAGTAGAAACAGAAGCAAGAAAAGACATGTTCTCTATGGTAGCAACACCGGGTCATAGTAGTAAAACCAGTTGTTGTATTTGATGATTTTGTTTTCTAAAGGAATAATAAATTTAATAAATGTGTCAAGATCATTCGTTTCACTATTCTGGATCATTTTCATCCTAATAAATTAACCTGATACATTTACTTTACTTTAAATAAGCTATTTAGTGGTGTTGGTAAAAGGGTGGGAATACTGAATTTTCATAAGATTTCAAGTTAAAATTTACCTAGCAAAAAATGAAAACTTTTCAAATCTGAAGATATCACATGATTCTGCACATAGAACTACATCATTAATACCATGGGCCGATTTTTCAAACTAAAAAAAAAAAAATTCGCGATCTCAACTCTCTGTATCACTCCGCGCTGGCATGTACAGATGCCAGCATTCACAAGCTGAATACATAATATGTAAATATGATAATTCACATACATAACATGGTGCATAATAAATGGAAATATTACATAGGATTAATACATGTTCTGTAATACTTTACTATACATAATTAATAGAGTAATATAAGAATACACAGCTTAAGGTACTACTTCGTGTCCATATTATACAGGTTCAACTCACAGAAAAAGTATACATACAAAATACTGTATACCAGTAATAGAATTAACAAAACATTAAATATAAACTAAATACAGTACTGTATAGTATACTGTATAATAATAAATAAAACACAATAGAATACTGTATTTTAACTTACTTTGAGGTGTGTATGTCGTATTCCCGGCAGCTTTGTTTGCATATCAAACAGCTGATTGTTGAGGCAGTCGATGATGACATGCCATATTCTTTACAGATTGCATTGGTTCTAATGCCTCCTTCATGTTTCATAATAATTTCTGCACTGTATATTATCAATATGTTAACTAAATTTCAGAATGACCAATAATTTTAATGTAAAAATGCAAAAATTTTCAAGAGACCAACAAATTCGATTTTCACTCCAATGTAAACAAAGTTAAACTGAGAAGCGTTGTTGGGTGATTCAATTAGCTGATGGGCACACAAACACTGTTCCCTGTACTGTCTATGTTATCAATATGTTAACTAAATTTCAGAATGACCAATAATTTTAATAAAAAAATGCAGAAATATTCAAGAGACCAACTTTCTTGATATTTACTCCACTGGAAACGAATGTAAACATAGAACCAATTACTGTATTGGCAGACTGGCTGATCAGCTGATGCGCACAACAAAACGTGTTTGTCGTAAGGATTTCGTTAATTGAACTGAAAATCCTTATGGGAGCTAATTCGTTAATCGAACCGTTCGTTAACCGAGGGACCACTGTATACTGTTGTTAATTTATATGGCCTCCAGCAAACCCCTTATTGCTGTCATTTCTTCCCATTTTAGCATTCTTTACATAAATTTATTCCACTTCTTGCAAATACAAGATCAAGGCCACAATGAGATCACATTAGTAAGCAAACTTCTACATGGTACCATGCAAACAAACTTGAGCTGGGCTCCTAGTTTTTTTAATAGTGAATTTAAAATGTATGCTACACATTTCATGAATAAAATCATTAAAACAGGAAATGAAGGAAACCTCTACTGCTATGTGAAAAAATATAGAAGTTTTGAGTGTAATATCATCCGGTACCCAAAATATCTAGTAGACGGGGACATCAACACCTTTCAATCTATTGCCAATACAGGTACTGTATGTGTGCATCTGAGGAATCATGACTGATATTTTATGATGAAAGTACAATTAAAATAAAGGGGGTCCCCAGGTTACGAATGGGTTCCGTTCCTGAGGACGTTCTTAAGTTGGATTTGTATGTAGGTCAGAACACATGCTATGTGCGTACTGTACTTACAGAACAATGTTTAAAATCCCACTATATCATAGCCTAAGTCCTTTTATACAGTGATCCATTGGTTAACGAACGCCTCGGTTAACGAATTACCTTCCATAAGAATCTTCAACTAACGAACAAAAATTTGGTTAACGAAATCCTTACGAAATCATGTAAACATGCTTTCGCCTGCTCACCAGCTGGAGTATTAGTCCGCCAATACAGTAATCGGTTCTAGGTCTTAAATTCGTTACCATTTGAGTAAATATCAAGAAGGTTGTACTATTCAATAATTTTCCAAGTTTTATATTAAAATTTTTAGTCATTTTAACAATTATTTAACATAAGTGAAGTACAGGGAACTAGTTTTTAGCGCGCCAAACAGACTACTTGACTCACCCAGAATGGCGTCAGTTTGTGTCTGCTCAGTGGAGGTAGCATCTTGCTTGAGACTTTCTTGAACATAAACTATTTTTACATTTTTATAGTACAATTATTGGATATTCTGAAATTTATTTTACATATTGACAATATATAGTGCAGTGCAGTGTTGATTTAAAGAAAATAATCTTGAATTACACCAAGTGAACTTAAAATTTTATGGGTGAAATTGCGGCATGAAGCATGGGTTGATTTCTCTTCCACCCCCACTTCCTTCTCTTCTCCCTTCTCCTCCACCCCCACTTCTAATTCCCATCATCATCATCATCAACCTGGAGCCTTCTACATACACACCTCAAAATAAGTGTACTTAACTGCATTTTTTTTTTTTTTTACTTTATGTAATTTTCGGTGAGCTGGAACCAATTACCCAAAATCCCATTGAAACAATGGTTTCGGTTAACGAAATTTTCGGTTAACGAAATTTTCGGTTAACGAACAACCTTCTGGAACAAATTGTGTTCGTTAACCGAGGGACCACTGTACATATAAAATCACTTAATTTAAGACAAAAGAAGAAATAGAATGACAAATTACAGAAAGTAAAAGTAAAATAAAAAAAAAAGTCATCAGGTAAACAAATACAGCTAGACCCCGACTTACGACGGGGTTAGGGACCCAAATCCAGGTCGTAAGTCCGACATGGTCGTAAGTCCGACGTAGATAAAAAAAAATCTACAATGAAATACAGTACAGTAAAAGTAATGAATAATGAGGAATGGATACAGTACAGTGAAAGTAATAAATAATAAGGAATGGATACAGTGTGACTGAGCACTTACCTTTAATGTAGTCAGCTGAATGCACATGGGGCCCCCATAATTTTCTAATTATACATGGAGACTACATTAACTGGAAACGTTTCGGTATAGAAAATGCGTGTCATTTGAGAGAGGAAAAAAAAAATGAATAAAAAATCTGCGGCGGTCGTAAGTCCCGACGGTCGTAAGTCGTAGCAGTCGTAAGTCGGGGTCTAGCTGTACTGTAAATTTCAGGTTTAACCTCATTCATAATGGGGGTTTGTAATTCGGGGACACCCTGTATGGGGAAAAAAGTGAAAATAATGTATGAAAACAAATTGTTTAATGATATATTATGCTACTCAGGGAGAAGACACCCATAGCCATACAATCTGGGGATTATATTTCATCCTAATAAGTGACAGAAGGAAAATTTCCTGACTTTATCCAAACATGCAAAAATCATAAAATTTCCAAAAGTTGTTATGAAATACAGTATATTTTATCCTGCTTATGAGTATCCTGGATTCTATTTGTGGTCAACCCTATCTATAGTCAATAAGGTATGACAAACATTTGAGTATTTATTAACAGCAACTGAAGTAAAGCAATACCTGTAAATCATGACTGCTTCCAGAATACAAATTATTTTTCTTTTTAGAATACTGTATACTAATCTATATGGGCCAAGGTACTGCTCGAACTACTACAGTACAGCACTTTAATTCTCATAAAACTAGTGTAAAAATTAAATATTTTCTCACTTTTTTAGGGCAATGACAGGACCAAATATCTCTTCTTGGAAGCATGCCATATCTTCAGTTACATTACAAAGGATTGTTGGTTGGAAGAAAAGGTCTCCCATGTCATGGCACTTTCCACCAAGTACTACTCCTGCACCAGCAGCTACAGATTCATTCACAATCCTTTCAACCTGTAAGTTGATATTTCTTTAGAGCTGAACATGATATAGCACAATAACATTGAAAAACAAACAATGTTTAATAAACCATCTTACTATTTCCGGCACATAGGTTCATGAAGAAACTTCTTGTACTCATATCAATATCAGCAAAATGATCTAGATTATGTCTCAACATGCTAGAGATGCATTTAGTCAAAATGAAGATACAGTAATTTGGTTAGTTGCTCAGCACAGGTGAAACAGAAGCTTCACCATTGCCACAGCAATAAACTTTAACATCAAGAACTTATCATTCTCCAAGATAACTGCCATAGCACACATTATGATAGCCAGCCGATAGCAACAACACTACCTAAAAGCAACATGAAGTTTTTTATAATTTGTTTACTGATATGGATGGCCATGCCCTGAATACCTAACTAGTCCCTTAGCAATTACACTTATCATTCCAATCTGACAAGGTCTAAAAATGGTGTTTTACCCTCATCTGAGTAGGAAATAAGGTACAGTACTTTACTAAAACATTCCTACTAAAATCCTGTAATCAACTGTACTGTATACATATCAGACAAATACAGTATTATTCCAAACATTACTACCAACTTCAGTTACATGGATAAATTCTCCATCTAGTAGGCTCTCGCCAATAACGACATCCACAATAACGTTTTCGACAATAATGGTAAGTTACAATAGATACCCATTTTCGATAATAACGTCTGGATTCTCTTGAATAACGGAATTTGGTGGGAAGCGTCCGAGCGCACCAATGATAGGGTTTGTTTGCCGCCATGCTCATGACGTAGTTATCCGCTCCTCCTCACTCTCACTCAGGCTCTGTGAAATACAGTGCTGCACCCACGTGTGAGATTTTCGCCTCAATAACCAGTGGTTGCGAGGGTTGGTGGTCAATAGTGGCTTCCGCGTTTTTGCCTGTGGGGTCTGGGGGAGGTGGTGGAGGGAGTGATTTGCCGCCTGAACGACCAGGAACTTTTAAAGTGAATGAGAAAAAAGACTGCAAAGCTAAGAGACAAAGCCACAAGAAGCGTGTCTACTCGGTCAAGGATAAAGAACAGATTGTTGAACTCATTGAAAGTGGTGCACGGAACATTGATATTGTGAGGAAATTGAACTGTCCTGAGTCTACAGTGCAAAATATTAAGATGAACTTAGAGGAGACCAAGAAGAATATTGTGCTGGCTAAGAAATATTTCGGTAGTGATGGAAATGCAAAGCGAGCTATGAATGATAAAAGTGATAGAAAGTTGATGAAGACATTGATGACATTGGGGAAATACCTGAAGATTTTGACTTTGCGGGGTTTGATGAAGTGTTAGCGGAAGTGGGAGAACCGGGTGTGAGGGGCCAGCGTGGGGACGGAGATGGGGCCAGGGAAGTGGGCGGAGGTTCGACGCAGTAGCCTCGGAACAATCATCACACCAAGCACCCCAAAAACCCCCCCAAGCTAAGTGTTATATTACTCAAATTCTTTATTTTGATAATTAAATAACAATTCTTTTTATTTCAGCTAGCAAAAAGTGTTAAGGGCTTCAAAGGTGAAAAAATGGGTGAAATTCTTGGGGTGGCGGCACCAATAAACCCTTTTTACATGTATTTTAATGTCACACAAATAATGTTTTCGCCAATAACGGCGTTTTTCAGGCACCTATTAGACGTTATTGGCCTGAGCCTATTGCTTCTTGAACAAAAGGAAAAGAATGCAAACAACCTCCTCTATGTCTCAAAACATACCCTTTTCAGCTGATTGATGTTTATGAGTGGGCCTATGTTGACTTCCTTATTAAAGCCATCACCAACTGTCAGTCTTTTTCTTACAGCTTCTTCCAGAGCTTCTGAAAATTTATCGTATATTTCTTCTTGGACCAATATTCTATTAGCACTGATACACGCCTGCAAAAAATCCTAATATAAGAAAGATAAACCTAAATTTTCAAGCTGACATCGAAATCCTTCCTGTCTGAACAATCTGCATCACCCAAATACTTGTATGAGATTCTTTTATTGTAATCTAACTTAAACACAACAGTAAATATAAGGTTTGAAATTCATCAACCTTCAACACTTCTTTCCTCTATAATTATGATACACAATAAATATATACATACTTGTCCTGAATTTCTAAACTTTGCAACCATAAGGCCTTCCACTGCAGATTTAACATCTGCAGAACTGAAGACAATAAATGGTGCATTGCCTCCCAGTTCAAGCCCAATTCTTTTAATTCCACTTGCACACTGTTCATACAAAACTCGTCCTATTGCAGTGGAACCTGAAAAAATAAAAATAAATAAATAAATATCAGTTTCATGGTTGGTGATACTCCAAGGTCAGGGGCTCATATATTTTGAAAAATTTTGTGAGATAATCCCTTAAAGAGGAGCTCCCATGAGATATCAACTATTTTGACCTCTTGGCAGATAAAAGACCAGACATAACAAACATTAGTTACTTACTATATAAAAGGTAACCTGGTCCAATTTACCCCCACTATCCATAACTAATGGAAAGATCAGATCTCTGGTTAATAAAAATGCACTCTAGTAAAATTGATATTAAAGTCACTATCTCAGAAAAAGAAAGAATATAATGAAGGCAATATCTATGGTTACTTCATCCTTCATCACAAAATAAACAACCAAATGCATAAGGTGAACTTTCATATATGGCCACAAATATTCAACATACCGGTGAAGGAGATGCCTGCAACCTTTGGGCTAGTGCACATAAGTTTCCCAACAGCTGGGGTGTTGGCTCGCGATGTAGTAACAACATTTATCACACCTGGAGGAAACATATGCATCTATAAACCAGTGATGAAAAGGTCACATTAGATGAGTGAGTGATTACCTTAGTCAAGGACTGAGTGCTTCAACAAATGCTAGCATGAATGAAAGTACAGTGGTCCCTCAGTTAATGAACGGTTCGATTAACGAATTACCCCCCATAAGAATCTTCAATTCGGTTAACGAACAAAACTTCGATTAACGAAGTCCTTACGACAAACACGTTTTGTTGTGAGCATCAGCTGATGGGCCAGTCGGCCAATTCAGTAATCTGTTCTTTGCTTACATTTGTTTCCAGTGGAGCTAATAAATATCAAGAAAGCTGTGCTCTTTAATATTTTTGCATTTTTTATATTAAAATTATTAGTCATTGTGAAATTTAGTTAACATATTGATAATAAATAGCACAGTGCAGTGTTGATTTAAATAAAATAATCTTGAATTACACCTAGTGAACTTAAAATTTTATTGGTGAAATTACTGCAACAAGCTTGGGTCCCCTGAAAGGTGATTTCTCCTCCATCCCCACTTCCTTCTCTTCTTCCTTCTCCTCCACCCTCACTTCTAATTCCCAACATCATCATCAACTTGGAAGCTTCTACATACATACATACCATTGCAATAAACGTAATTGCCAACGAGACGTAATCCTGAAAGCTCTGTCCTCTTGTTCAACCTTATTACTGTACAACCCATGTTGTACTGCTCCCCCATTATACTTATGTTTTTAAATTCCACTCTAATTTATATGTATATATGTATGTGCAATTGTGCACGTATGTGTGTGTATATGTATGTATGTATGTATATATATATATATATATATATATATATATATATATATATATATATATATATATATATATATATATATATATATATAAATCAGGAAAAGGAAACAACGGAGCACCTTAGTTTTCGTCTTTATTCAAGACATCTTCAGAAACTTTACATGGACAGAGGCTTAAATATACAGGGTGACCTTAAAACATGATGTCAGGTCATAATGATGTCATCCTAATCCCACACCCAACACACACGTGGGGAGCTTAGAGAAGGGGGGTGACGTGACTAATCAAGTCAGGTCAAAAATAAAGGACCCACAAAATAACTATCATACATCTAGATCAAAGGTTTCAAAGCATTTTAACCTTGGGCCACTGACAATAGCAGTGATTTAATTGATAAACTCCAGAAACTAGAATGCGAATTAATAAGTTTTGATGTAAATTCACTGTTCACTAGAATACCTGTGAAAGACCTACTTTCATTTCTTAAGATAAATTACAACTGTTAGATTTAACTATTAAGATTACATGATACTTTCATGAAATTGATAGAGTTATATGTGACCGACAATGTGTTTAGAGTAAATGGGAAGCTCTACAAGCAAATATTTGGCATGAGCATGGGTAATTGTCTTTCTGCTCCTCTAGCCTGTATTTATATGGAGTTTTTGAGGCTAGATTACTACCCAATATAGGGACTTATTCCATGGTATAGATATATAGATGATGTTTTTGTCTTTGGCCTAGAAACAGTGACCCATTGGAATTTTAGACAAGCTTAATGATATTGTCCCAAGTATCACATCTCAAAATTGAAAAGTGAAATAAAGGATCCCTTCCATTCCTTGATATACTTATCATGAGAAATGCCAAAACTATAAATTTAGTGGCGGTAGTATATATATATATATATATATATATATATATATATATATATATATATATATATATATATATATATATATATATATATATATATATATATATATATATATATATATATATATATATATATATATATATATATATAAATATATATATATATATATATATATATATATATATATATTTTATTTATTTATTTATATATGTATATTTATATATATATATATATAAATATATATATATATATATATATATATATATATATATATATATATATATATATATATATATATATATATATATATATATATAGTTCAGTCCCTCAAGCTTCTAAATATTAATGTTGTTTTCAAGTATGACTCAACCATTACCAATATGTTAATAAGGAATAGCCCAAGTTTGAATGTAAGTGGAAGTGTTTATTGTATTCCATGTAGCAAATGTAATTGTAATTATGTAGGACAAACAGGAAAAACACTGCAGCTCAGAATGAAACAACATAAGTATAATATCAGAACAGCATCTGAAAGCAGTGCCTTGTTCGTTCATGTTAGGAATAATAATCACCCCATTGCTTGGGAAAAAAGCTTAGAAGTATTTAAATCATCTTGTGTCACAGAAAGACTTCTGGTTGAAGCTAGTTTGATTAAGGAATTAAAATCAATAAACCTTAGTGATGGTCAGTTCAAAACTGATAATATGTTACATAAATTTATTTGTCAGTGGCCCAAGGTTAAAAATGCTTTGAAAACCTTTGATCTAGATGTATGATAGTTATTTTGTGGGTCCCTTATTTTTGACCTGACCTGACTAGTCACGTCACCCCCCTTCTCTTAAGCTCCTCTACGTGTGTGTTGGTGTGGGGATTAGTGGATAACATCATTATGACCTGACCTCATGTTTTTAAGGTCACCCTGTATATTTAAGCCTCTCTCTGTCCATGTAATCCAGTTGCCTCTGAAGATGTCTTGAATAAAGACGAAAGCTAAGGTACTCCGTTGTTTCCGTTTTCCCGTGTGATTTTATCAAGATTTATCTTATCCACGTTTTCATTGTGGATTTACATGAAATAAATATATATATATGTATATGTATATATATATATATATATATATATATATATATATATATATATATATATATATATATATATATATATATATATATATATATATATATATATATAATCGTAACCGGTCGGAATTTACTGGACTTTAATTTCTCACTTGACTTGGGGTTTATTAAAGATTATTAGATGGTAATTGCAGTGGAAGCGCCCCTTTGAGAAAAATCCCGAACCAGCACAAGAACACTTAAATTTACTAAACCAATGAATTGTCCTTGACCTGTGGAAGGATAGCGTCTGTGACTGGGATGAATGAGACACACTGTAAAATTTAGACACTTATATTCCCTCCAACACTACAGACACAATCAAATAATGGTACACCAACATATGCGCACCTCTTAACCTGAACTTAAAACACTACTCTCGGGAATAAATGTTATACATGATATTGAAATTATTAGAAACTCAGACAATGCCTCATTAGACAACAATAAATTCAAGTTATAAGAATTGTTGCTTGCACACATGAAACAGGCCTTAAGGGCTTTCAACAAAATAATATCAACCACTGAGAAAATGGTATTAAAACAATAAGAAATTAATAACTCTACAATGAATAGGCCTTAAGGGCACTCAACAAAATTATATCCAGCACTGAGAAAATGGTATAAAAAAATAAGAACTTATTAACTCCACCCTGAATAGGCCTTCAGGACACTCAACAAAATTATATTACCCCAACAGATGCACACTTCCCTTCAGCTTACTACCTGGGAACAACGGTTATACCTGAGATCGGAATTATAAAGGAAAAATTAAATGCTTTAAAGAACTAAATCATAGTATCCTCTGGTTTTAATTGGTACAACATTAAAAAAACAATATTATCAAATTATTTGAAATATTAAACTACATCAGATAATATCAGTAACTGAAAAAATGGTACTAACTACTCTAAAAAAATATATCACTGTTATTAGATGTTACTGAGTTCACCAATACCTGGGAACCTGCTTCACCCAACTCAACATACACCGTAATAGATGGAGATAAAATGTTTCTCTGGGTATTCCTAGACTCCTGGTCTCAGTGTGTGACCATTAATTTACTTCAGATGGCCTCAGTGTCTCTCAATTGCATTCATGGGCGGGAAGAAACGCCAGCAGGTGATATGGCCCAGTATGGTAATACTAATAGCTGCCAAAAACACGTGGTGCTGAAATTACGTGGGAAAATTGATCACCCAATGCTGATGCTGGTCCGTGTCATTTCAGTTGTCGGGAGCACTTGTTCACTCAAGAATCCTTGATATTCAATGTGACAAGCCTGTACTGATCGTTCCAACTCGACAATCGCTAATCATCAATCATCAACGGCAGTCTCAAACTGAGTCATCTCCCCAGTCAATCTCCGCGTCAGTGGGTTCTGATGGAAACCTGAAATGGACTCACTGTTGGCTCTTATTAATTTATCACTGCCCTATCTAACCCCTGTCTGAGATCGAATGGGGCCTTCTTTTATACTGCAATGGCGCAAACCAGGTGACTAGACTTACATGACCGTTTCGTCCTCTCTGACGCCAGTCTGCCCTCTTTGCTCCCTGTATGCGTCTGACTGAGAGCGAATCAGCCTCCACGTCTCCCCAAGGTGCTAGCTTAGGCCTAAGTGACATATTTTCCGCCTAGCTAATAACTTTCTTGGGACACTCATAACATTATTCAGACTGATAAACGATCTATCATAATTTCAATTTAATAATAGTCATACTTCATGAATCGCATCAATATTAATTCTTAGGATATCCAATATCATATAGGCCTAGTTCAAAAGCTCTCACTACGAGACAGGAGCACTCTCTTCTCAGTCGACCTTGAAAACTCAGTATACCCATGGTAGGCAGTTTTGAAATCACTGAAATTTCTGAATATACATATGTAATATATATATATATATATAGTTTATATATATATATATATATATATATATATATTATATATATATATATATATATATATATATATATATATATATATATATATATATCGTCTTTATTAAGTAGGATAATCGTCGATTAAAAAGCAATTGATTATTTTTCAAATAGGGATAATTCTGTTTTATGGCTACAACTTAATGACAATTAATTCGTATAAGAGTAAAGGTTTATGTTTCATTTAAGACGTCGTTTACCATCACAATACAGCCAGAATTATACCTAAAACGGATTTACATTAGGCTATGTATAGGATTATTCATTCA